GAGTGGGGGTGGCAGCTGGCGTTTCCTCTGGCCTGCCTCTATTGTCCTGCATTAGCCACAAGTTGCTCTGCATCGAGGATTGGACCATTTGATTCGACAAATACCTGTGACCAACCAGCATGCTTCTGATTAGTTGTACCCATCACTCCTTTACCTTAACTTAGCAGGTAGACAGGAATACTCAGAACTGTAATAGGAAATGATATTCACAATAAGACCTTTTTTTTTTTTTTGTAAGGATCTTCATCTTCTAGGGAGGAGGAAAAATCATGTAAAAAAGCAACATAGAAAATACTTTAGATAAAATAATTTTTTATCAACCTATTTCTTTCTCCTATAAATAAATGTATTTCTTGAATGTGACCTGGATAAAGTTAAGCATTGAATGAGAGACAAAGTTTAAAAAAAAATCGATTTAGTTCCTTGAAGGCATTTTATGAAGTTCATAGACTTAATTAAAGAAAAAAATGTTCTTTTCCATCAAATAATTTTTGATCATTTCTTAAAATTTGTTATTTTGTTGTCATCTCATGTTTCATGAAGCTGATTTTTTATTTTATTTTTTGCAAGGAAGGAAAGGTTAAACAGAGAAGGCAGTTGATTTAGGGGAGATTTTTCTTAAGGTGTGCACTTTGAGTCCAATTAAACGCAGGCCTTTGCAGCTATAATACAAGTAAAATGATAGTGGTAGGGATGTATGCTTGGATTTCTTTTCTTTTTTGTCTTCCAACAGGACACAATCAACAAATTGGAAAATGAGTTGAGAACTACAAAGAGTGAAATGGCACGATATTTAAAAGAATACCAGGACCTCCTCAATGTGAAGATGGCTTTGGACATTGAGATTGCAGCTTACAGGTAAACACTGAGGCACAAAGGCCACAGCCATTCAGCCTCAGCAAGAAGATCAGATTTCATTTATGTTGAATCAGAAACCTTCAAGAACAGTCCTTGAGATAATTGTTTGCTTTTTGGCTTTTTCCAAGAAGGTATTTAGACAAGTATATAAGAATTTATCCCTGTAAGAATGAGTCCTGTTTCCAGCTTCCCATTATATTTTAAATCTAATAGGACTATTTTAAAAGCTTTTAAAAATGTGTGTTGTTGTTTTTGTTCTGATCTCTTTCACAACAACTTCAGTTATTAGGTTTTTAAATTTCCACCCCTGCTCCTGTTTGCATGTGCCTTTAAGGGTGTGGCATTAGGCGAAGGCGATGAGTGGTGGGCTCAGAGCAAGTTGCTCAGCACATTTTTTGTGTTCATGTTTGTTAACCCCATCCTGCCCCTGCCTCCCTAGGAAACTCTTGGAAGGTGAGGAGACCCGGCTCAGTTTCACCAGCGTGGGAAGCATGGCCAGCGGCTACTCCCAGAGTTCCCAGGTCTTTGGCCGATCTGCCTACGGTGGTTTACAGACCAGCTCCTACTTGATGTCCGCCCGCTCCTTCCCTTCTTACTACACCAGCCACGTCCAGGAGGAGCAGATCGAGGTGGAGGAGACCATTGAGGCTGCAAAAGCTGAGGAAGCTAAGGATGAGCCCCCCTCTGAAGGAGAAGCTGAAGAGGAGGAGAAGGAGAAGGAAGAGGCTGAGGAAGAGGAAGGAGAGGGAGAGGAAGAGGAGGAAGGTATGATTAAAATAAACAACCATACAACTTCAAGTGCAAGCTGAGCGTGGGTATTTGTTAGGACATGAATACGATAAATGAAGCCTTGCTTATTCCAAAGAAGTTCCATTCACATATGAGTTTAGGATGTTAAATGATACATTTATCCTTTAGTAAGCACCTGATTTCTCAAATTGGCTATCTTCCCAGACATACACAGCTCTGCTTAGCTTGGTAGTTTTTTCAAAAATAGCATTTAGAAATAGCCTCCTCCTGGACTTGTCATTCCTACTAAACATTTGAAAATATATTCATTGACCACAGCAGTTCCGTGTCCTAAAGAACAAAACTAAATACTAAGCATAATAATAAAAGAAATACTGAGGTCCTGGAGAGCTTCCAGTACCTAGAAGTAACCTCACTGTATTTCAGTATGTGTTCAGGGGCAAAGCATTCCTGGCAGGCACTGTCAGCGGCGTGTGTTTGGGACAGTAGAGCGGAGAGGTTATTGGGAAGCATTCTGACATGATTTCCCTCAATACCTAAGCAGATATATTTGGCCTGGACTTACCCTGGATTTGGAATTTGTACTTTTCTTAATGTTAAAGGTGCCAAGGAAGAATTTGAGGATGCAAAGGAGGAAGAAGGAGGTGAGGGTGAAGGAGAAGATGCCCAAGAAGCTGAGGACGAGAAGAAAGATGAAGGTGCTGGGGAGGAGCAAGCAACCAAGAAGAATGAGCCCCCCCACCTCCACTTCCCTTAACCATTTCAGGAATAACCCTCCCGAAACCAGGTCAACCCCATCACCAACCAAGCAGTTGAGTTCCCGATACTATATGAATTAAGAAGTCAATCTATGTAACATTCTGAGGTGACTCAGGTTGGACATTACATGTTGTGCTATGACTTTTCTCCTTATGCAGAGTATCTGTTTGCTTGCAGAGTGGCTTCCTGGCTTGCTGCCAGCCTGTGCATGGTCCACGCTTATGAGTTCAGGATCTATGGCAATGTGAATAATTCAGACGTTTACAATTAAAACACATGAATACATGAATTCACTAATGTTAATGTTAAACTTCATGGAAAAAATAGTCCTTTGAATCTTCGGTGGTTAGAAATGAAAGACCTCAAATCATGTGCAATAAACAGTAAATAAAGTTACACTGAATGACATTTTTTGCTGTGATTATTGACTTTATCTTACAGAAGGCATCAATACACATCATATACAAGTGGACTATTGACCTCCATTTTTTAAGTCAAAAATTTAACAATTACAATGTATTTTTGCCCTTTAATTGGTCATTCTGAGGGATACAGTTAGGCCATGATCATTCATGAAATCTCTCCCCTCAAAATTTTTATTGATACTAAACTTGAGCAAATGGGAGCCTCTAGGATTCTTTTTCTTTTCTCAATAGCAAACTACTTTTGCCCCCATAAAATGTACTATATAATGTTGGGAATGACTTTCTTGGAGGCAATTCTGAAGTTATGTGATAAGTATACTGTTTATGGTAAACAGGTAACTTAAACAATACTATATAATAAAGATGCAATTTAGAGAGAATTTTTGTCTTGCCTGTCCATCATTATAACCACATTAAAATATATAGTCTAAATATCATGGGAAGAAGTTGAAAAACCAAGTAAATAATAGAATCAAAAGGAGTAATTTTTTATCAATGTATAAATTTGGACAGAGAAGAATATCAAAAGTTATTTCGATATTATCATTGCAAACATGTTGCCTGCAATCCTGAACTCATGATTCAGTGTGTTGCTAGCTTAATTCTGTTGCCTCAAGTAAATAGCATTTAATGCCACCCATTTTAAAATTTTAAAAAACTACAGATGCAGAAAATGAAATTGTTATGAGTCACTATTTCAATGATAGCTCTAACTGGTTGGACACCACATCACATACACACCCCACTCATCCTCCGTCCGCTGCAAAGTTATGAAAGCTCCTGCACTTGCACTTGATGTGGAATGTTGATGAAATTATTGATTATCCGCTGTTCTGCTTCTGTTCTTACACAATTGCTTTGTCAGCTAATTTTGTTGAATATTTGGTCTTTAGACAACTTTTAAAAGTAATGAATTTAAACTGAAAGCAAAGTGGTCTCCTTTTAAAGTTATCTGATCCCTTCTCATTACCTACTTCTAGTTACATACATGTTGCCACATAAATAGGTAGAACATATTGCTTTATCTGCCATGATGCTATGGATGTGAACCTATGAAGATTCTCAGTACATCGGCTTCTGTAAAAACTAGGAGTCACCTCAGAAACCAAGCTTTTCACATTTATGTTCATTAAACATGGGATGCTGCACATGGTAAATCTGAGAGATGCAAATTACATGTAAAAAAGTAACTTTAGCCAAATGGAAACAGCTGGTTGGTTTAAGAATTACTTGAAGAATAATGTACCATACTCAATCCTGTGTGCCATAATAAAATACTGAAAAACCTAAACTAAATGGCTTTGAAGTTTTAAAAACATTTCCCCCTCAAATTTGGTTCCTTAGTTAGTACCACTCTCCCTTCTGCTCCCTCCTAAACTCCAGTTCTCTGCCAGCATTCCAGTTAATGCCACCAGTCCCCAGTCATCCAATTCTGCAAACCAGAGGCTGGCATGGCATCATACTCTCCATTTTCTCTCCTCCAGTTCCTTTAGTCTATCAGAGCCCTATTGATTTTGCTGCCTACGTATCCTGAATCCATCTCCATTTCTCCATTTCCACTGGCACTACCCTAAGGGACCACCCATTGTCTATGCTTTGCCTCCTCAATCAGCACACTAAGGTAATCTTTCTAAAAGAAAAAATTGACCATGCCATCTCCTCCAATAGGTTCCCATTTATTTTAATATAGAAACCAAACTCTTTAAGGTGATATTCAAGGCCTGCATAACCCTGACCCTGAACTACTTCTCTGACTTCCTCCTTTGAGCATTTGTTCTTCTCAACTCTGCCGCTCCTGCACCCTGGCCCTCTGTTCTCCCACCAGCCACAGGGTTTTTGCTGATTTATCTGTCTGGAGCACTTGCCTTATCTTTCCTTCCCTCAATCTTGCCCATATTTAGGCTTAGCTGTCATTCTCTTGGGGAAACCTTTCCTGACTGGGCCAAAATGTCATGTGAATGTAATCAGAGAGTGTGTAGTCTTCTGAGTCTGACTTCTTCACTTAGCATAATTTGTGATTCATTCATGCTGTTGCCATGTATCAGCAAAAAGCTTATTTTTACCTCATAAATAGTTGAATTCTAGAGCTTGATGGAATCTTACAGATCAGAGCCAAACACTCTCATTTCCCAGGTGAAGGAAAAAGTTTCAATTGCACTGAATGTGCGCGCCCGCACGTGGTATTTTGTGGAAGAGACACACTCAAGGGGCCAAAGAGCCGCATGTGGCTCATGAGCTGCAGTTTGCTGACCACTGGTCTAGTGTAAATATAACTTTATACACTGGGAAACCAAAAATTTGTTTGGTTTGCTTTATTGAGGTGTTTTGGAATCCAGCCCAAATGCCTCTGAGGTGTGTCTGTTTTTGAAAGGGGCCCTCAGTGGAGCATTCAGGATGTTGTCCTCTTGGCAAAATGTCCAGCAGAATGGAGTGCAGTGAGTTACACAAGCCAGGAAGCCAGGCCGTCTTCAGGTTAAGGTCCTCTAGAAAATTCCTACTAAAGAGGTTTATACGAGAGCAAAAAAGCCAAAAGATAAAGCATCATGAGAAGAAAGAAATTTTCAGCAGCCCCAGAAAGTAACTATCAGTAGCTTTTTAATTCCGCTTCAACATAGATAATTATTTGTATATGGAGGGTTTTTTTTTTGTTGTTGTTGCTAAATGAAAGAACAATACTGTATTTAAAGAAACTAAAAAGGAAAAAATATATTTCCCCATTTCAACTACCATTATTTTTATTTATATATTTTCCTTTAGTCCTTACTTCTATTTATGTATATTTTGTCATAGCTCATCCCATTCACTCCACACATATTAATCATACACTATCTGCCGAGCTGTGTGTGTGTATGTGTGTGTGTGTGTGTGTGTGTGTGTGTGTGTGTAAACAGGCAAAGGACAAATAAACAAGTCAGTAGGTTGGTGACATGAGATCTAAGCCAGATGTGCAATGACCTAGAGAAAGAGTGTTCCAGGTAGAGGGAACAGCAAGTGCAAAAACTTGACTTGTTTGACACTCCTTACCTCAAATGCCTTAAGTCCATTAGTGAATATTGAGAATATTTATTAGGTCCTGGGTAGTGTGGCTCAGTTAATTAGAGCATCAGCCCTTGCACCAAAGCATCGTGGGTTCAATTCCTGGTCAAGGGCACATACCTGGGTTGCAGGTTTGATCTCTGGCCCTGGTCTGGATCCATGCAGGAGGCAATCAATCGATGTGTCTCTCTCACATTGATGTTTCTCTCTCTCTCTCTCTCTCTCTCTCTCTCTCTCTCTCTCTCTCTCTCTCCCCTCCTCCTCCTCCTCCTCCTCCTCCTCCTCTCCCTCGCTTCCACTCTCTCTAAAGAAAATCAATGGAAAATATTATCAGGTGATGATTAATAAAAGCAAAAAAGAGTATTTATTAGACAGAAGTAGGGTTAGAAGAAGTAGGCAAAGCCAGATTATGCAGGGGCTTGTAGATAAGAGAGTTTAGATTTTATTCCTTGTGCAATTAAAAACTTTTGAAGGGGTTAAGTGGAAGAAGGGTTCGTGATCTGATTTCTGTTTTATAATGACCACTCTGGCTCTTGTGTAGAGAATAGCCTTTAGAGAAGCAAGAATCAAAGTAGAGAGACTAACTAAAAGGCTGCTTTAGTCCTGGTAAGAGAAGATGGTACGGTGATTTAGAAAAGGGCAGAAGCAGTAGAAATGGCATGATGTGGTGTGATTTAGGAAATTTTTGAGGTCTTTTTTGTTTGTTTTAGTAATTCTCACTGGAGGATATTTTTTCTATTTATTTTTAGAGAGAGTGGAAAAGGAGGTGGGAGGGTGGAGAGAAAGAGAAACATCAATGTGTGAGAGACACTTGGATTGGTTGCTTCCTGCCTGTGCCCTGACTGGAGCTGGGGATTGAATCAGCAACCTAACTATGTGCCCTTGACCAGGAATCCAACCCAAGACCCTTAGGTGTGAGGCCCAAATGCTCTAACCACTTTGCACACTGGCCAGGGCTTTGAAGTAATTTTTTTACTAACAGAATAAATGCATGAATAGAGAAAGTTGTAAATAATATCTTATTTTTGATCACTACATAATATTTCACCAAATTAATATGTAGTATTTATTAGTCTTCTATTGTTACATAGACAATAGACAAAGCTTAGAGACTTAAAACAACCCAACCACTCATTGTTTCTTAGTTTCTGCAGATCGGGAATTTGGGAGATTTGTGAGTGGCTCAGTTGGAATGGCCTGGCTCTGGGTCTCTAATGAGGCTGCAGTTAGATGGTGGCTGAGGTTACTGTTATCTGAAGACTTGACTAGGCCTCAGAATCCACTTCAAGGTGGCTCACCCACTTGGCTGCAGTTTCTTCTCCATGTGGGCCTTTCCACGGAGCTGCTTGAGGATTCTAACAACATGGCTGCTGGACTTCCCCAGAGCAAGGCCTCCAAAAAACCAAGGCAGAAGGTGCAATGTCATTTATGACCCAGCCTTGAAAGTCACACATCGTCATTACCACTGTATTCTCTGGGTCACAGAGATCAGCCTGGCTGACTCAGTGTGAGAGGAAGCTACAAATGGACACACATA